AAAAGGACCGTGCCTTTCCGGTACCGATCGGCCATTTGAACATTTTACAGCGACCCTGAAACATATGAACGTTGTTCAACAAAACATCCTGAAATAATTTAGGACTCAAGAGGGTATGCAACTGAATGACAATGATAATGTCTGCCTGGCTCCAGCCCATCCACCACACACCTATTCAATAATTGCTGTAAATCAATGTCTCTAGTAGTCGTTGCATTAGAAGTAAGGAGGTTTAAGCAGAGATTTAAGGATGAACATGACAAAAGCAGACACATTTGGATTTAAACAAAAAAACCATATCAGTAACTCCGAAATATTATTACATTTATATATACTTGTTTATATAAAAAACTGTAGAAAGCCCAGATGAGAATAAAACTCAGACACTGAAATACCTTTTCAAGGCATGTTAGAACATGCCGCATGTTGTCCGCATGACACAAATACGGAACATATGGAAAGTCGACATCGATCTCGCCGCTTTCCAAACGCACTGTTTTCAATGATGCACACACAACTTCTGAAACACAAATTTATGTTGCATTCAGATGTGCATGAAATAATGAGATAAAGTCAGAACCTCGCTAAAATCCTAAAGAAACATCTGACATAGAGGAACCGAAACTTGAGCTCCAAATGAATGAGGTTTCAAAATCAGTAACATCAATAACAAGCTTTCAATAGCAAGTACAGAATTTGTTGATTATCAATCACATAAGGTGGATATAAGTTATAAGGTGAATGAAGGTGAAAGGCAGCAACAAGGGATCTTTGCATCAAACATCACCGCCACTTCAGAAGCCCATCCAGGAATATCCACGCCACGACATTATACTGTCTGTATTGTTCGCCAGTTGGCGAATTTAATACCTACCTGTAGGATAGCTGAACAGAAGCAACGTAGGGTGCATTTCTTACTGAAAGAAACTAGCGCCTTAGACAACTCTTACATTTCTCGGCATGGCGCGGTAGCCGAATGCCGAATGATTTTGGTTTGAACTAAGGCGGTGGCAGGTCCGATTTCGCCCGAAGGGAAGATTTGATTGATTCATGAATTTCTTTTTGCAATAAACTGAGTGAATGACGTACTGGATCAGAATAGGAGAGTCCAATCAATACATCATAAGACTCAGAACTGAGAGCTTCGGACATCGTGCCGTTATCAGGACCCTGAGCTCTCTTTCTTTCATCTTCATCTTTAATAACCGCTTCTCCTTCCGGTCAGCAGAGGCAGACATGTAAAGCAGTGGCTGCGACGTTTCCGATCCTATATCAGAGTTCGAGCTTCCGCAGAAGACAACCTGAGTCTAGAGCAGACTCCTTGCATATAATTGCACTAGGCTAATTTTGGCCGTATTTTGGACCTTCTGCTGGTCGCCTGGGAAAGAAACAGTTGCCTGGTCATTCTCTGTGGAGGCATTCGCAACACGTGCCCAAATCATCGGGCATATGACTTTGAAGAAGCAGCGCCGGCTCATTAAAGGCATTCGCGCACTTCTGTCGTCCGAATAATGTCAAGAAACGTCAGGACAAAGACCTGTTTCATAAAGCCCATTTCAACAGCTTGTATCCTGATTCGAAGATTCTCAGTCATGATCCACGACTCATGCGCGTAAGATCCTCTTGAATACCGAGCCTTAATTTCTAAACTGAGCTCTGCTTTAGTCATAACGGATCGGGCTAGTTCATGCACAACGTCACTGCCTACTACAATCCGTTGGTCGATCTCTTTCTCACGTTTTCTGTTACCAGTACGAAGCACTTTAACTTCTCCACCTGCTACACTGCCTCTCCGTTAATTTGAAGAGACCAACGGGAAGGAGAACGAGAAAGCACTAAGCTTACTTTTGAGATACGTTTAAATGCATTGCGGCTATGTCGCACTCGGCAACGAACCCATTCACAGAGGTGGAGATCAGTTCTTAAAACAGCAGCCTTCTCGTATCGACATCTCCGAATCGCTGATTCACCCATCGTCATTGCTGCGGCTCATTATTCAATCCATGTACAACATAAATAGAAGAGAAGTCCAAACGCAGGCTTGACGCAGAACAGTACCAACGATGACAGCTTTCGACTTAACGCCATTTACTTTAGCGCAGCATATGGTGATTCACTGGCTCAAAGGAACTGAATATCGATCCCACATGTTCGAGATCAAGGCTCTTTGATTCAAAGCCATTTCTTGAAAGCAGCCTACTTTACTTTTACTGTCAGTTGTACCTCCAGAGTGCTTGAGGAAGTTCTGTTCTGACCTCCAGGCGGCAGACCAACACCTTTGAATCTGCAGCAATAGGCGGTAGCGTCAAGTAAATCATCATATAAGGAGTTGCCACTCAGTTTGCAGATCAGTGGTCAGCACCGGCATCTGTTCAAACTGTAGTGCGATATAGTGAACAAATTTTGCTCACGAGTCCACCGAAGACAATGTTTCCCATTTAATTCTCTGGCTGTTTCTGCCACCAGATCTACGTATGGTACACCATTTCTTACAGCGCAGGGTGCCAAAGTGGTTATCATTTAATAGCTCGGCGCCTCTCTTAACAATAACATCCATTAATGAGCGTCTTAAAACAGATAATATGACTATCAAATTGATCATCGACTTCCGTGTACAAGCTTCACAGTACCAGGTTTACTGATGCACTCTTCGATGCCCAGAGAACGAGTTCAAAATGGACAGTCCGTTGTTTACACAAAACCACAACAACTTCATGCCGTTTTTGGTCAAATCGTTAGAGCCGTACTATCCAATCACGCCGTAACACTTTTCAGCGTCTAATTTGAAATGCGTATTAAAATCGCCCACGAGTATGAGGGACCCTGTATTCGGCACTTCGGACTGAGCACACTGCACTTCCTCAAGGAAGGTATGGTATTCCCCCTCGGAATTGGACATCTAGTCCAGTAACAAGGTCAACGCTATAGCCTATTTCAGCTTCCGTCGGAGGATTACCACGCTTCCGCTGACAGGCTTCCAATTAAAGATTCTATCTCCTAGGTTGGGTTCTACCAGAACATCAATACCGGCTTGAGCGCGCGTCGTGATATCGACACCTAAGTGGAATAGCTTCAACAAGCAGAGGCTCCGAATTCCAGAGCCTTGGCGTTTCGTTGACGAGAATCCAACTATGTCGAGTTTGTACTTAATGGCTTCATCAACTAAGTCCTGCTCTTTCCGTTAGAGTGAGGATATATCCCAGTCTCCGACTAGGAGTTCCCACTGGCGATGCCGTTCTCGTGGATCCTTTTGTGAGGTGCTGAAACGGCACTGCGCTGTCTGCCTAATCAGAACGGGTAGCAAGTCCGTTGCTGATTGGTAACTTCGTCGTCACTCCGTCGATCTTATTCAGCCGTTGTTGTGCTGCTGTGCCAGCGGCTGGCAGAAGAAGTTGAGGAGGTTTTTATTATCGAATTTTCGCAGCTTACATCAACCCCCATCAGGATGCGCGGCACCTGGTGTCAGCGGCGACCACGCCATTAATAATTTTCGATGACATCAATACCATGAAGGTCAGATGGATATGTTTTAAGGAAACTACGCCACGGTCAACAACGTTCGTCGCTTGTCAACTGGGCTTGCGACTGGCAACGGGGGATATAGCACTAAAGATTTCTATTTGAATTTTTTGGCAGAAAACTGCTATACCGTAAATGACCCCGAGGAATGTGAAAATGTAAACGAATTCAACGAAATAAAAGATATCCATCATGAGAAGTGTGACACGCAACAAAACAATCTATGCAAAAACGACTCTCGCCTAAGAAAGTGTTGTTGTTTAATGGTGAGGTGAAGCACTGGTCACAATACTGCCATCGTTGCTTCTACGACATGTTGTTTCATGCTGACGAAACCCACGCATAAGGGGGCAGAGACGACCTGAATTCATACAAGCTGATAAGGCTTTCGCCAAATGTCCACATATTCCTAAAAGCAAAATCACATGTTTGGAAAAAATAAGCAGAGTTTTCTGCAGCTTCCTTGGATATCAACCATAAGGAGCTAAATACAATCATTGCATTTGCAAGTAGCGGAAGAGTAACGATCAGTTCCTAATTGAATCCTCGGGAAGAATCCCCATCGCTTAATTTTAGAACGTAACGAACGATCAATGAACCAATGACGGCGCCACTGGAGCAAATCGATAAAAGTGAATGAGACGGCAGAAAAGTTACAAATTGTATTGTCACACGAAACGAGATGGCCACAAACAGAATTATCAGGGGGATCATAAATTCGCTGAGCCTGAAAATCGTGACGTTTGCTCGGAGGGCGTGAAAAGTATTTTAGAAAGATTCAAACCAGAGATACCGCTGGAATCAAGTGATATATAGGAAGCTTACGAAAAAGGATTGCTCTAGCACAATAAAAAAGGGCAGCGTAGCAAGAAACAACTAGGTCTTGTTCTGAATGGAGAATGTTGGTTCGTTATGCACACTGTCTCCATCAAGTGGGTAGTTGCTGCGTCTACACGTGTAACTAGTGAATACAATATTTTCCTGTTCCTCGCTTAGAATGCATCAAGTTATGCTCATAACACTGAAAACAAACACATAGATGAAATAATAAGTGCTAAACGAAGCTTAAAACATTTTTATCGGTAGTAGCAAAGACAGAAAACATCTCGTCCATGGAAGCAACTTGGAAATGACAACGGTTTCAACTGACTTCGCTGAGCGAAGGCCATTTCAAATGCCTTATATTCGTTTGTGACCTACAGTCCCCAGAAGACGCCAATATTCGTATGCAGCTACGGAACAAAATTGAGGAGGACGATGTCACCATTCCCAAACTGATAACCGAATGCAACAGCGTCCTTAGTCTGAAACATGACAACGAAATGGTTAAATCTACCAGCGCTACCGATTCTGCCGATATAGCTATCGCCGTGGCCAGGTCTCAACACAAATCAAATATTGCCGATGTCACCAGGTATCAGCCTACACCAACAAACAGGCTCAAATGAAAACTCAAAACTCCCTGCTGTTTCTGTGGAGGTATGTATTATGTGAGTGACTGCCCATTCAAGGAACATACGTGTTCACTACGCAAAGAAATAGGCCACAAGGAGGGACTTTGTTCAGTTATGTCTCAGACGCCCTTCATCTACAGTAGGACCCAGAAGGTCCGCAGGTGTAACAAAATCTAAATGGCGCAGAAAACCCTGGCTTAACACAGTTTATGCCCTTGCCTCTGCCGATTTCAAACGTTCTCGCCGCTACCTGCCATTTTTCATCAGCAACCGTCCGGTTGAACTGCTGGTTGACACAGGTTCAGACATTATAAGTATATGCTCTTCAACCAGGAAGATGATTGGTTCTCCAAGGCTCTCCCAAACCAGGCCAATTTCAGCAGTCCACTTCATCGGTAATCCAGTTCCTTTGCAAGGTAAACTGAAATGTACCTATCGTTTCAATTCTAAACCCTTGTCCGATATATGTTACGGTAACGGTAACCTCCTTGGAGCTGAGTGGATCGAGAAACTAGGACCTTTTGATCAACCGTTCAACAAGCTCCAAGATGAACCTGCAGCACGCAAGTCGCGGGCAGTAAGCTTCCTGAACGCTTTTAATGCGGAGCAGTTCGCTCGCTCTCGCTTCCCCAGCATCTACAGCAACGAGCTTGGCTGTTGCAAGCGTTTCAAAGCGATTTTGCGATTACATCCGGAAGCGCAACCAATTTTTCGTCCAAAACGTCCAGTTCCTCACGCAGCAATGCCGGCAGAGGAAGCAGAGCCGGACAGACGTGAAAAGCTTGATGTCATTTCCAAAGTTAACTACACGGATTCGGCAGTTCCAATCGTCGCAGTCAAGAAACTTAACGGTTTCATTCGTATCTGCGCGGATTTCTCGGCAGGTCTCAATGCAGCACTCGAAATGCATCAGTATTCCCTTCCGCTCCCTGCACCGTTTTCTCTCACATTGACTTCTCAGACGCCTACCTTTTAACCGAGCTATCCGAAGAATCCAAAGAACCACTCACTATCAACACACCGAAGACTCTATCGCTATAATCGGCTTCTATCTGGAGTAAAGTCTGCACCAGGAGCTCTTTTAACAAGTGATGGAGTCCATGGTTTCCGGTCATTCTGGCACCGTGGCCTACATCAACGACCATCGTTGTCGACAAAAACGAAGCAGAGCACTAAAAGATTTTTCGAGGCTCTACATTCCAGAATTTCTGATTTCGGCTTTCACCTTCGCCTTGAAAAACGTTGCCTCGCCATGCCTCTGATAAAGTATCACGGCTGTATCCTCAACCGATACGGTCGACGACCGGATCATGCCAAAATCCAAACCATCGTCAATATGCCAGCTCCTGCGGACCTTCCAACGCGGCGGTTTTTCCTTGGTTTGATAAACTATTACAGTGCCTCCGTCAAGGAACTGTGGCATTTTCGTGCACACCTCGACAACCTGCACACCATCTGCATCATCTGGATAGTCGCTGCGTCTACACCTGTAGACTGTGAATACAATATTTTCCTGTTCCCATTAACACACATCAAACAAGTGCTAAACGTAGCTTAAAACTTTCTTACCGGTTGCAGCGGAGATAGAAAACATCTCGCCCATATAAGCAACTATCAGGACCAGTGAAATGAACACGAGAATCATATTAGAGGTCAACCTTAATTCGCCTCGTCTCGGGCTGCACCACCTGTACGTCGTTCCTGTACCATAAACACTTAGGTCCTGATTTTCAGCGTCACAATCGATTTCAGTTAGCGGAAATGTCAAATGCGGCAGTGCACTCGGTGGTATAAATGTGCTACTCATCGGAATCCACAATCCCATGAGAAAGTTTTTCTGTTGAAAACGCAGGTAAGTACAAAATCGTGCCTATCCATAGCTCTTAATAAAATTAGTTAGAGACGACTCAGAAATTTATATAAAAGTACTTGCTGAAATCACGTTTGTCCATTGTCGCTCTAGTTGCACATATCGACATTGCGTCAAACTCGGCATAGCAATTGAAACCACGTTTTTCGGAGTGTAGATAAATCGAAACGAGACAGTTGCTTTATCACCTGTGCGTCTATAAGAAACAAAAGGCAATGTCTCTGACGGCACCACAAAATATGAAATGGAATTACAAGATTTGTTCAGAATTTTTGCAGTTATCATTTCGAAACGCTTTGCAAAACCAGAAAACAGAACAATCAAGTTCTATGACCTGGAAATTCTAATATGAAGCATAGGTGCAAATTTTTAATAGAGGCTGGAATAAACATTCGAATACGACTGTTGTCGTGTAAACTTATGATGGAGGTGGCGCAGATGCCCACCGCGACTGATGCAGATAGTATCAGAATTAACGACTCACCAATGATGCTTACAAACTGTCACAGGTCCTGAGTAAAGCGTCATACTAGCTCTCAACGGTTTGAATCTACTGTCATAGGGAGATGATTGTATGAGACATCAGAAAAAGCATACGTAAAATGGTACCCAAAATGAACTGTCGAATAGAAGCTGACAAAGAAAGAACCGTCCAAGAACAAGAATGACGAAAAACGTAACCAATGTCCTAAGGCAACATAGTCTATGTTAATTTAGCAATCAAAGCTCTTAGTGACAAAGCATTGTAAGCCACCACTAAACTAACGTATTTTAACCACTAGTAACTCATAAAATATTAACATTAAATTATCAGGCTTCTGAAACAATCCTTACTGATTAAAAATTGAGTTTACGCAGTCAAGCGCATAAAAATTGCATTTCTACAGAAAGAATGCATTGATTTGCATGTAAGACCACAATCAAACATGATCTTTCAGCGATAAATGCGTCGTACCCCAACCAACAATCATCTGAAGCAAAGAAGTCCCGAAACTGAATATCGATCTATTGTTTCTGTTCTGCTATTAGCTAAGGAACATGAGTCTTTCGCAGTAAATTGCGTGGTTCAGACGTATTGACGATTCAAACTGAAATAATCTACTCGCTGCTCAGAATCTCCGCAACAGGTTCAGAAACGTAATAAGAAGAATCATGTAATGTTTCTGTCAAAAATGATTCGAAAGCACAAGCAGTCATCGAAAGTCTGCGATAAAAATTTCTGACATTAGGCATAAAATTGAGTATAAGTTAGAATCCTACGTAGTCAGTATTTGATTTCCGCCAAATTCAAAAACTATTCCAAACATATGTTTGACATTCCACAGAAGGAGAAGCTATAAACAAGTCCTCGCTTACAAATCTGCCGATATATTTCCATGAAAACAAAAGACTCTAGAAGAATCGCAGCTGTATATTTGTCATTCGTTCTTCAATGATTTCTAAGGCTGAATATTTTCTGAAACATTTAAGTTTTTAATCCAACCCATATATATATATATACGGTCGTGCATCATTTAAACTGGTATGGGTAAGTTTGTGATCCGAAATATACGATCGGTTTGATAATAGTCTCTTCTCACATATGATGCTTTATACATAGAGCTTCACCTTAAAAAAGCAGCAGAGCTGTCAATCATAACCCTTTCATTTGTTGTTAAGCTACACTGTGAGAAATGGAGCGCTATGCGACGATATATTATCACAAAAATACCAATGAAAAAATGGGTTACGAAAGTTGCATGAGAGGGCGAAAGTTGAGAACAACACTGACAATATTAACTGATAACAGTCATGACCGCTAATGTTGAAGCCCACATGGAGTCGTTTTAGAAGGTCATGCTCAACGATGCCTCCGAATTTTGCGGATTTACTTAGGATGGACGACCTCCAGAAGGTCATGAAAATGTTTTTGGTGGATAGAAGGGTTACACTGGCTGTTGCCGAGAATAAAACTACAATTAAAAAATGGCCTGCAACCAGAACATTCAAATCGCATGTAGAATGAAGAAACGCGAAAAGTGGCAGCAAATGCCGAAGGTAATTTTTGGGACAAATCCGACGTTGCGCTGCGGTCGAATTTCCAGATGGCAAACATTCCATTACGGCAGATTAGGTGACGGCTCGGGATGTGAAAAGAGAGTTTCCAAGAATCTTGAAGGACAACACTGATCATCTCCTTTCCCAATTGAGGAGGTTTGTCTTGAATGGAATAAATAATTTTGAAAACTACTTAACCTCGAGCTTTCGAAAAAAGACAACTCTGTAAAGCAACAGTTAGTGGATGCTATATGTGCGAGATATTCAATATAACAACGGCTTTTAAGGGATTTTGCCTAATATATGTCAAAGTTGATAAAAGAATGATTATGGTTAGTTTGATCAGGAATAGCGCAAAGGAATAAAAATATCCAACCGACTGTACAAATTAAAGCAGAATCAGCATATTATGACGCAAACTTACTACATGTATTCCCTACATCGCGCATGAGGGTTTCTACCAATCCATTTTATTTAGAACCCGATTCGCTCTACGCCAATCACATCACGACGCTGGCCGTCACTGGATCGCCAAAGTCTGGTCGTTTTGTAGGATACATCATGCGATAAAATAACGATGACACACAAAAATGACGATGGACTGCCGACAGGCCTTTGAGTGTTGCGTCTACCGATCTGCCCATGTATAGAACTGGTCTTTCTATTTTCTTCGGGCGCCTGATACCATCCTTCATTTGTGTCAGTAACATGATATTTACGGAGTTGCTGAGCATATACTACGTTAACTTCAGAAGAGCTTCGGTGATGATGTCCCGCATGAAAAAAATCGGCATCGAGGAAATAATTCATCAGGTCGTAACGCAAATCATCAGAGCAACCTGTTCGTAGAGCAATTTTTTGTTGGTCGATGTAACTGCTAGTTGCAAGTGAATGACGATTAACACCTTTAATATAAGTCGATCGCCACTGCGCTTTACAACGTGAAGCCACCGTAAAAAGCTTCGCAAATATCGTAAGAACTTTAGAGCAGAAACTATCAATGATTTTACTTATCGCCCGAACATCATTCTACGTCGAAAAACAGCGTGATCGATATACTTACATGCTAGGTTTTTTCTTTGTACCTTGTTGATACTATTCTCTACTGTAGCCTTTGTTTTAATTCGAGCTTACACGTATCTAGTCCCGTCACTCATAGAACGGTAGTTCACCAAATCGCACCACCAA